TACAACTAATGAGGCTGAACATAGTTGCTAATGTCTACTGACCATTTGCCTTTCCTCTGTGAGATTGCTGCCCATTTATTTTGCCCCTTTTAATAATTTTTCTGGGTTATTTTCTTATCAATTCTCAGGTACACTTTAAACTTATGAATTGAAGTATCTTTCTTGTAAATATTTTATACAGGAATGTCTTTAAAATATAGATATATTAGTATTAAAATGTTTTTCATGATAGATATTGTTTTGGGGACAAAGGTTTACATTATGTAATTGTTTTTAAATAGTGTACATTGTGATAATTTTCTCCATCAGTTTTTTGTTATTCTTCTCAAATTTTACACAATAAATATTATGGTGCTTTTTGTGAATACTTTTAGAAATGATATTTTAAAAATTCCTATTTCTGATTGTTATCCAAAGTAAATGCTTTACTTGAAATGTATGGGTATTCTAGTTGAGGCAAAAGAGCTCATTATAACAATCAGAAATGGTAATTAGCTATAACAAGTTAGCAATAATTGTATATTTTTTACTGAGGAAATTAAACATAATTGCTTCCTCAATCTTTTGTAAAAGTGTTGGAGATTCATGTACTAGAGAAATACTTAATCAAAAAGACTTTGGTTTTTTAAACAAAACCATAATAAAAAATACTGATTAATGAAAAAAAAAAAAATTTCAAGTGTTTAGCATATAACAAATTTTCACCAGATAGTTCTATCTTACTTATTTATACAGAACAGCTATATTTATATTATAAAACTCTAAGGAGTTAATAGCACTGTGATATTTGAAGTTTTGCTATTCATATTTTGCTATTTTGTAAAATGTTTGTTACAGTTGGCCCTTCACATCTATAGGTTCTGCACCCTTATATTCAACTAACCACAAGTCAACCAACAGCAGATCAAAATTGTTTTTTAAAAAACTATTAAAAAAACCAATAAGAAATATAATAAAAAATGCAGTGCAACAACTACTTGCATAGTATTTACATGGTGTTCTAGAGATGCTTTAAAGCAGGGATCCCCAATCCCTGGGTCACAGACCAGTACCACAGCCTGTTAGGAACCTGGCCACAGAGAAGAAAGTGAGCAAGGGTGAGTGGAGCTCTACCGCCTGTCAGATCAGAAACATAAGTAGTTCATTGAAGCTGGAACCCTTTTGTGAACTGTGCATGCAAGGAATCTAGGTTGCAAGTTCCTTATGAGAATCTATCGCCTGATGATCCGCCCAACCATTTCTCGTGTCTTTTTAGGGGGCTTTTTAGCAGTAGTCCCCAACCTTTTTGGGGAACATTCTTTTCCACTAAACCAGCCCCCAATTCCAAAAAGGTTGGGGACTACTGCTTCAAAGTATTCAAGAGGATGTGTGTAGGTTATATGCAAATACTACACTATTTTGTATCAGGAACTTGAATCATCCGCAGATTTTGGAATTGGGGAAAAAGGCATGTCCCAGAACCAATCTCTGGCAGACACTGAGGGACAACAGTATTTCAAGGGACTACTTAAATTTCCATTTCTTATAAAAATTATACTTAGTTTCTTCAGAAAATTCTTTTGGGTTCTGAACTTTTTGTAAAGTTATTGGGAAAGACCTTACGTAAGAATTATAAAACATTGTAATTGTTTATTATTTTTTACAGTTATAGAAAAATTGGTTAACTGCATATTGAAATGAGCTGAAAAACAAAATTGTATTCTCCCCTGGGATAGTTTTCTTAATGATAGAACATTTGTTACACAAAATGATACAACATCGATTTTTTTAAAAAACTACTTTGATTTCATAGTATTGATATATTTCATTTAAACCAGGACTATCCAACACTTCATAAACTCAAGTTTGATCGGCAGTAAGGGGAGGAATGTGGAATTGACTTAAAAATCAAGTCTATATTTTGAAAAGTAAAACTGTTAATCCTCAAAGAGTTAAGAATCAGCAGGATTTTAGAAGCTATATTTCTAAAATATTTCCCAAGCAACCTATTGATAAACATGCTAACAAATGTATACATTCCTCTGATTCAGGATTGATTCAAAAGTTAAAGAAATGACAACAAATTCTTAGCAAATGTTTTTCACTGAAAATCTGATTAAACCATTTTAAACATTCTTTAGCATTTAAATATCAAGTATTCTTTCTAATTATTTTAAGAACATATGATTTAAAGTGACAAACGTTTAAATTATATTTGTTAAAACTTAAATCCATTTGATCATTCAACTTGAATAATCATGGAGCCTGGTGTGGTAGCGTAAGCCTGTCATCCCAGCACTTTGGGAGGCTGAGGCAGGAGGATCACTTGAGCCCAGAAGTTTGAGACCAGCCTGAAAAATATAGTGAGATCGTATCTCTACAAAAAGTCAAAAAATTAGCCAGGTGTGGTGGCACTTGTCCCAGCTACTCAGGATGCTGAGGCAAAAGGATTGCCTGATCCCAGGAGGTCACGGCTATGGTGAACCATGATTGTGTGACTACATTCCAGCCTATGCAAAAAAAATGAGAGTCTGACTCAAAAAAAAAAAGAAAAAAAAGAAAAAAGAATAAGATAAAACATGAAAGGTGAGAGGCAGAAATGATCCTGGAATTGAAGCTCACTAAATCAGTGCAGAATTGACCTGAAAGAATAAATGACAGGAGATAATTGGCTTTCTCAAGATAAGCCACTGACTGGTAAGCCCTATAAATCTTGGGCATTTTCAGTAAAGTAAAATCACATTTAACTGGTATGTTATGAGACATGCTAGTCCTTTCTATTAAATTGCTAAAATCTGGTAATTTGGCATCTGATGCAGCAGAGTCAAAATTCCCTAGCTAAATTATTAAGCAAGCACTGGGGATCTCTGGGTTTGGGTCACGGTATCAGCCTTGGCCTGAAGAGGTCTGGATCAGAAGGAAGCAAACAAAAGAAGAATTTAGGATTGCTTGTATACAAATTAATCAATTCAATGGTAGGAGGTTGGGCCCCCCAAATTACAGTGGATCACCAAGTTTAGAGGGAAGTGGGTAGTGGTAGCTCAATGAGTTGTACTTTCACCCCAGGACACCAAAGGACCAGGGAGAAACAGGCACAGAAAGAAGAATGCAAGAGGACCTTATCTTGTAGTTTATTCCCCGGTGATCATATTGGCTTCCCAGAAAAGCCCTTAAAACATGCCTTAGTCTCTTAGTAAAACTAGAAATTTAGGCTTCATAACTGACCCTAAATTTCATAACAATAATGTGAAAGTCACATTAAGTATTATGTGTGAGCTATACAACTATTTATTGTTATTTACATATCACAAATACAATCATATGGTTTTCTTTTTAAAAAATCTCTTCATCATCTGGGCTAAATGTTTATTAGAAGCAATTTCTATGACTATTTATAATTCAAATGTTAAACATGATTTGAGTATTACTTGGCAGTATGTAAGCAAAGTATCTATAGATTCTGTCATTTCCTTTGCTTAAGTATTGAATTAACTTAACTGTGTACTTAAATCAGTACATGCAGAGTTTGATACAGCATGAAATTCAATAAGCAAAATTATATTTGGGGTAAACAACAGCTTGGGAAAAAAATACTGTCTTTCTTTATCAAGCTAACATGTACAATCAGGCTGGATTTTTTAATTTTTAACTTTCTATTAAAAATTCAGTCTAATCAAAAACCAAACTACTAAGAGCATTTTGTTAGTTATATCCCCAAAGTTTAAAGGAGCAGATGTTTTGGTCAGTACCACCATCTATATTTAGAACTGAAAAGTGGCAGAGCAGGGAAGATCACTTGAGGCCAAGAGTTCAAGACCAGCCTGGGTGACAGAATGAGACCCTATCTCTAAAAAAAAGCTTTAATTAGCCAAGTGTGTTGACACGCATCTGCAGTCTCAGCTACTCAAGAGCCGAAGCAGGAGGATTGCTTGAGCCCAGGAATTTGAGGATGCAGCAAGCTATGATCATCCCACTGCACTCCAGCCTGGGCAAAAGAGAGAGAGACTCTGTCTCTAAAAAAAAAGAAAGTGACATCAACAGTCCTCAATGACTTATTTTGTTGTCATATTTTTGGTCTCCATTTGTGTAACACATTTGTGTAACACATGCGATGAACTTTCAGCCCTGGGAATAGAATCCCAAACATTCACTACATACATATGTCTATAATTACTCTGGGCACAATAACACTTGCAAATAAAAGTGAAAAATAAGAATAAGAAAAGATTTGTTATACAAAAGTTTACATATGTAAAAGGTCTGTTTCTTCATCTTGTAATTTAGTTTATACGTACACATATAAATACTAATATCAAATTTACAAAGCAGGATGCAAAACTGTGCAAAAGCAAACACACTTTCAAAACTGTACATACACATTGATTACAACTATGCAAAAAACACAACCAGTTCTTAATGGATGGCTAGGAACTTGATGACACTGCAGTAGTGGTATGTTATGGTTATAGAACCATGGGTGTTTTGCTTGATTTTGTCTTGATTTTCCAAATGATATACAGTGCGGCCAAACCACTGTAATTCTGATGCCTGCTGCTCCCTTGTCTTCTGTTGAGTATTCCCGTATGAATTCATTCAGAAAATTAGGAGAAATGAATGTGCAACTTACAGACAAGCTGATAGGGAGGAGAGATTTCAGCACTCATCCCGCATCACAGAATTCGAAAGCTTCCTTGACATACTCTTCTCCAGAATCCCTTCTGCGCTGTAGTGCTAGGAAAGCCACTCTTTTTTCCTTCCTCCACCCTCAAGCACCACACCACCACAAGCCCAGCTTACTGCCCCAGTCTTTGGCCTCCAGAATTCCACACTGGTTTCTGCATCTACACTTGCTTTCCAAATCCATCCCATCAAGGCACTCAGAAAACAAAAGGATTCAGCACTTCCCAGGAACCCTTTAATACTGACATTAAATAATGAAGCTACACAGCTTTCAAAGTTTAAAAAAAAGGTAATTTATATGAACATTCTTATTCTGTGAATATACATTAACATAATATTTCAAGAAGGGTTTTCCGGAGCTGCGGCGGCGTAGACTGGAGGGGAAGCTAGGGGTTCCGACGTCGCTGCCGAGCGAACGCGCCCCAGCCGGATCCTTGACGACCACCCCAGCTCGGCGCCGTCTTTCCGTCGGCTGGGAGAGGCCCCGCGGCCTGAGAGCCCCGCCGCCCGCACCCGGAGCTAGCGCAGCCGCGGCCTGTCGCCGCCGCCGCCGGAGAAACAGGCGGGACCCCTGATTCTGGCAGGATGGCCCAGTGGAATCAGCTGCGGCAGCTCGAAACACGGTACTTGGAGCAGCTCCACCAGCTGTACAGCCACAGCTTCCCCATGGAGCTGCGGCAGTTTCTGGCCCCCTGGATTGAGAGCCAACACTGGGCATATGCGGCAAGCAAAGAATCACATGCAACTTTGGTGTTTCATAATCTCTTGGGTGAGATTGACCAGCAGTACAGCCGCTTTCTACAAGAATCGAATGTTCTCTGTCAGCACAATCTGCGAAGAATCAAGCAGTTCCTTCAGAGCAGGTATCGTGAGAAGCCAATGGAGGTTGCCCGTACTGTGGCCCGGTGTCTGTGGGAAGAGTCCCGTCTCCTCCAGACTGCAGCCACTGCAGCCCAGCAAGGGGGACAGGCCAACCACCCAACAGCGGCCGTGGTGACAGAGAAGCAGCAGATGTTGGAACAGCACCTCCAGGATGTCCGGAAGAGAGTGCAGGATCTAGAACAGAAAATGAAAGTGGTAGAGAATCTTCAGGATGACTTCGATTTCAACTACAAAACCCTCAAGAGTCAAGGAGACATGCAGGATCTGAATGGAAACAACCAATTGGTGACCAGACAGAAGATGCAGCAGCTGGAGCAGATGCTCACTGCGCTGGACCAGATGCGGCGAAGCATCGTGAGCGAGCTGGTGGGGCTGTTGTCAGCCATGGAGTAGGTGCAGAAAACACTCACGGATGAGGAGCTGGCGGACTGGAAGAGGCGGCAGCAGATAGCATGCATCGGAGGTCCTCCCAATATCTGCCTCGATCGCTTGGAAAACTGGATAACCTCATTAGCAGAATCTCACCTTCAGACCCGCCAGCAAATTAAGAAACTAGAGGAGTTGCAGCAGAAAGTGTCCTACGAAGGGGATCCCATTGTACAGCACAGGCCCCTGCTGGAGGAGAGGACTGTGGAACTGTTTAGAAACTTAATGAAAAGTGCCTTTGTGGTAGAACAGCAGCCCTGCGTGCCCATGCACCCCGACTGGCCACTCATCATCAAGACCGGGGTCCAGTTTATGGCCAAAGTCAGGTTGCTGGTCAAATTCCCCGAGTTGAATTATCAGCTTAAAATTAAAGTGTGCATTGACAAAGACTCTGGGGACGTGGCGGCTCTCAGAGGGTCCCGGAAGTTTAACATTCTGGGCACAAACACGAAAGTTATGAACATGGAGGAGTCCAACAACGGCAGCCTCTCTGCAGAGTTCAAGCACTTGACCCTGAGGGAGCAGAGGTGTGGGAATGGGGGCCGAGCCAACTGCGACGCCTCCCTGATCGTGACCGAAGAGCTGCACCTGATCACCCTTGAGACTGAGGTGTACCACCAAGGCTTCAAGATCGACCTCGAGACGCACTCCTGGCCCGTCGTGGTGATCTCCAACATCTGTCAGATGCCAAACGCCTGGGCGTCCATCCTGTGGTACAACATGCTGACCAATAACCCCAAGAACGTGAACTTTTTCACCAAACCCCCAGTCGGCACCTGGGACCAGGTAGCCGAGGTGCTGAACTGGCAGTTCTCATCCACCACAAAGCGCGGCCTGAGCATTGAGCAGCTGACCACGCTGGCAGAGAAGCTCCTGGGACCTGGTGTGAACTATTCAGGGTGTCAGATCACGTGGGCTAAGTTTTGCAAAGAAAACATGGCTGGCAAGGGCTTCTCCTTCTGGGTCTGGCTGGACAACATCACTGACCTTGTGAAAAAGTACTTCCTGGCCCTCTGGAATGAAGGGTACATCATGGGCTTCATCAGTAAGGAGCGGGAGCACACCATCTTGAGCACCAAGCCCCCAGGCACCTTCCTGCTGAGGTTCAGCGAAAGCAGCAAAGAAGGAGGCGTCACCTTCACTTGGGTGGAGAAGGACATCAGTGGCAAGACCCAGATCCAGTCGGTGGAGCCATACACCAAGCAGCAACTGAACATGTCATTTGCCGAGATCATCATGGGCTATAAGATCATGGATGCCACCAACATCCTGGTGTCACCGCTGGTCTATCTCTATCCCGACATCCCCAAGGAGGAGGCCTTCGGGAAGTATTGTCGGCCAGAGAGCCAGGAGCATCCTGAAGCTGACCCAGGTGCTGCCCCATACCTGAAGACCAAGTTTGTCTGTGTGACACCAACAACCTGCAGCAATACCACTGACCTGCCGATGTCCCCCCGCACTTTAGATTCATTGATGCAGTTTGGAAATAATGGTGAAGGTGCTGAGCCCTCAGCAGGAGGGCAGTTTGAGTCCCTCACATTTGACAGGGAGCGGACCTCGGAGTGCACCACCTCCCCCATGTGAGGAGCGAACGGAAGCTGCAGAGAGACCTGCCCGCTGAGGTGCCTACCTGCGTCCCGCCCCCTCGCACCAAACCCCAGCTCATCTGAAACTCCTAATTCTGTGGTTCCAGATTTTTTTTATCTCCTAGTTCTGCTATCTCTGAGCAATCTGGGCACTTTTTGCAATAGAGAATGTGGGTGACATGCTTTTATCTCAGTGCAAATAAGATTGTGTTCTCTGAGACCGTAATGGGGGATGTGGAAGGGGCGGCTGGAGGGAGAGAAAGGAAATGTCTTGTGCTTTGGTTCCCCTGCCCTCTTTCTCAGCACGTTCTGTTGTTGTTGTTCTTAGACAAGTGCCTCCTGGTGCCCGCGCCGCCTTCCGTCTGTCTCTGTAAGCCATGCCGCGGGCCACCTGTGCCGCACACGCCTAGTCTCACACTCTTGACCTTGCTAACATCCAGAGAGAAGACAGGACTGTCTAAGCCCCGGGCTTCTTTTTTTCTCCAAGTCTGGGTCTCCCTTGTCACCTAGGCTGGAGTGCAGAGGCACGATCATGGCTCACCGCAGCCTGGACCTCCTGGGCTCAGGCGATCCTCCCGCCTCAGCCTCCCGGGTAGCTAGGGCTTCAGGCATGAACCACGTCTGCCTAATTTCCCGTTTCTTTTTAAATTAAAAAATAACAGTCATTAAAGGGTAAAACCTGCCGTAGTATCAGCATAGCCTTTCTGATTTAAGAAGCTGAGTTCACAGCCTCCTTGGTGCTTTAAGCTTCTAGCTTTCTCCAGGCTGATAATTTATATAAACCCTGAAATGGCTTCAACTCAGCCTGGCCTTTAGTTTTGAAAACAGGAAGGTGTGAGGAGAGCCTCAACATTTTAGACTTTTTTTGTAAACAGAGTTTTCTTTCCCTCATCATGTGTTGGCCTTCAGTGCTAAGGCCGGGCCAGGGATGCTCGCAGCTGTGCCCCCTTTCTCCCTGGCCCTCCTCTGTCGCCCAGCCTTGGTCGTTTCTGCGGGTGCCTTATCAGGGCCAGGCC